TAATAATTAACTGTTAATAATACAAATATTTACAATTTGAAAATTATATATATAATATATCAAAATGTACATTAATTAAGTGGGTGACATCATAATTAAAATCGCTTAATGTATTTATCGAAACAAGAATCATAGATAATGAATTATTGATAATGATACATCCACCCTCTATATTATAATTGCTTTCCCGTAAGTATTTCTAACTTCAATCGGTAATTACAGATTTTAGTATGGGCGGAGAGAAAGAACGTTTCCAACAAAGTAGTTATTATTTATTATTTCATTCACATGGCGTACTATAAATTTAGACTTTATGGGCTTTCTCCTAGAAAATAATTTGTTACTAATTGATATCCATTTGCGTATTTTGCTTTCATCATTCATATTTTTTCTATTGCTGATTCAACAATAAATCCATTGAAAACCTTGATTGACAATATTGTTTGTTTCTTTGTTTTTGCAATTATCATAATTATTTATATAATAAAAAAAATGTAATAACGCGATATTTACAGCGTAATATTGAAACTCATAATTAGAGCAAATAAGTTTAATTCGTACTTCGTCGTTATATGGAAACTGTGATAAGTTTTGTATGAAAACTTTGTTATATGAAACTTGGGGCGAATTGTTCAGTCGCCCTACCAACGAATCCGTGGGCGCCGGTTCGAATCTAGGCACTTTGTGATCCATCTCGGTGCTTGCAGCAATAGGGCCATCGTTCATCATGAATAGACGTTAAATGAAAGAGGACACTGACAGTGTTAAGGATAGCAGCAGTTACACAAACAAAGGGAATAGTGGATTCGCAGAGTGTCAATATACTCAAATCAACCTATAAGACGGCAGCCAACCAACAAAATACAGAAGAATATATATTTGTAAAAACTTCCATTGGGAAGTTTACCAAAATAGCAAATGTCTACCGCCAATAGATTTAATTCATATTCGCAGATATAAGTTTGTAAATTGAATATAATATATGACCTAATAAAATAAAAAACTACGGACAAATTACAAATCATAAGTACTAAGTTTGGGTCAAAATGACCCGTTTATTAAATACTTTAAAAATAGAATAAATTATTGATTTTTAAAATAAATACACATCAATTCTTATCATTTAATGAACTTAACATCATTTAGAACTAATTTTATTGCTCAAAACAGTCTGAGATTTTTTTTGAGCAAGTAGAACTAATTGGTTTAATGCATATGTCACTAAACTTTGAATCTTTCTTGTCGATCTTGCTTGGACAAAAATACACCTATTCCATTATTATATTTTTCACATTTTCGTCTACAAATGAATTTGAGGTAGATGTATCAATTAATGTCATCAATTTCACTTCATCAAAACTTTAGTTTAGAAACATCTTTATAGAAGAACCACGTTATAGGAGGGATGTCGCAATTTTTGTTATGCGTTACATAAAAACCACATTATAATCAAATATTGCAATTATTGTATTTATAATAATTTACATAAAATTTGAAAAGAAAGCACAGAAAATAAAATAGAATAAATTGACTATTGACCATAGATATTATATGTTATTCAATCAATGTATTCAAATACTAAAAATATTTCCAACGGGCATTGATATTTCCAGTAGCTAACCGTTGTCGTCTCTCTATTTGCAGAACGTCAAGTTTATTTTCATTCTTGAAAGTCATAAAATAGGTAGTAATGCACCGGACACCCACGAATCAAAGACATTCGCATGAAATTAGCATAACCAATAAATAACGTTTATAGCAATATTTATTATTATTTAATAAATTAATATGCATCGTATAATATAATGACACGGCGCAGTTTGTAGACAAGCTATGACATTCCATCGACACGTCCAGCAATGTCCTATTAATTATTCATTTAAATATTCGTAGCAATGAAACACTTTAAAAGGAAATCACAGCAAATTAAATACGATCAAAAAAAACTATCCCGAATTAGAAAACTGATTAATTATATAATGATTCATATCACAATTTGATTGTATTTATTTATAGATTTAGTAGACTTTATTTTTTCAAATGTATACTTTAAATAGTAACTAATATTATTATATAAAATGACAAAATAGAATGTATATATAACAGGAATACAGATAATTTTATAATTAAATTACGCAATTATTTAATTAACTAATAGATTTTTTTTTTAATATTCATTAAAAAATATGTTAAATATAAACGAGCATAAGTACCTCGCACAGTCCGGGTAATTTTTTTGCCAATATCCCGGACTGTTCAAAACCGGACTAATCAAGACACTAAACAAATACAAAAAATAAATAAATTCACCCATTTAGGACCAAAGTGATATCGACCATGTCCATTTTTTTTAGAATTTATTTATAAATTAAAATTTAGTTTCTTTTGAAATTTTCAAACCAGAATTTGGATTGATTGAAACCGCACTATGCAAGGTGTTGTTGTATATATAATCGATTTAATTAAAAACAGTTTTTATATTACTTCTACAAATGTATTGAGATTTTATTAAATAATGGATAAAATAAACAAAATACAAAAAAAATCGTTGAACTATTTCCAAATTATCATTGGATTGTTTGGTCTTTTAGTCAATCATTAAATAGCTATTTATAACTTGATGCAAAAGCATTCTACATATTTAAATAACAAGATACATGTCAAAATTGTATTCAGATGCGCATAATAGACTTAAATTGTTATGAATGGGCCAAATGTACTCTCGTTCCAAATTGTGTGTACGTCCCAATTAAATAATTCGAGCAATGCATAGATGGGTTTATTGATCGAAGCATTTTCTCTCTCGTTGGAGTGGATTTGGGCCAAAGGTATCACCGGACCATATGGTTAAAAAAATTCTTCATATACTGGGTGGTCCACAAAATACGTAACATCTAATATGTTTTATTATTCAGCAGATTTTTACAATAGGAAACACCATGAGTGTATAATCAATTAAAAATCATTTTCAATTGCAAATATAATTATAAACATGATTGCGTTTACATTCACAGTTAACTGAGTATTATTATTCCATGCAATTTTGTCTTACTGGTTCGGATTATATCGAGAAGAAACAAAAAATACCTCGGTTTTCGAACATGAATTTAATTTATTTATATCTATTCGATGTTCCTGTTATTATTGTATTATTGAATATTTAATGTATTTTCATTGTTTTTGTACTATTGTATGCATAAAATACTACCATAATGATTGAAATAAGTAATGATTTCGGTTTTTGAACAAAATATTAGATAACAATTATTTTTTTTGTATATTGAACACGTTTATAATATAAAAATAATGTACAAAAATTGTGCTTTATATTTTTCACTCACTATAAAAAAAGTTATAAGTTATTTTTTTAAATAATCCCTTCAGGATATATTATTTTTCTAGGAAACATCTTTATAACTGATTGTTTGTGTTAAGCATTTAAAGACCCATTACGATTAGCCCATAACAGTAGCAAGAACTTTATGAAAATATGTTTCATTTGAATATTAACTTGTTATTCTTTTTTTTTCTAAATAATGTCATTAAGTATCTTTAGTAATTCTAGTATAATATAAAATATCATTGTTATAAGTTTAGTTAATTTCGAATTAAATAACATTTAATTATCATCATATATGCAAATATATGCACAATTGCTTTAATTTTCACAAATATTCTTATACAAAACAATTTTTATTTGAATATAAATAGATTTTATTTAAATGTTAACAACATTAAGATAATTATTAAATTGTTATTATTAATTTCTATTTACTATGTTTTTCTTTCTATGCTTTAACATAACAAAAAGTTGACTAAAAATGTTTGATGAGTCATTGAAACGAGATTTAATAATAATAAATTAATGTTGAACTAAATTATTTTATTACGAATAAGAAAAGAGTGAAATTCAAAAAAGCTAACAAATCATGAATGAAACTATGAATCGAGCTTTTTTTGATATAAATATTTTTATAATACTAAGTACATTATAAAATTATTTAAAGCAAATTTTATTCAAATCTTATAGATAAAAAACTGTCAATTTAAAAAATAGCTAAAGAATCATTGAAACGAGAATTATCAAAAAAATAATTAAGCGATGTTTTAGTAGAAATATTTCTATAGTATTAAATAAATTATAAAGTTATTTAAAGAAAATTTTACTCAAAGCTTACAGATAAAAAAATACTTAAATATCTGTAATAAATCTTTTATTTAATAAATTCCATTAAATTTATTGTGATTTCAGTTCTAATAAAAAGATTTAATTCAGTTCTAATTAAATTTTGAAATATTCATGTTGAATTTTGAGCAAATAATTTCATTAATTACTTATTTATGTAATTTTATTCTTAGAGACAAAAAAGATGAAATAAAATTAAATGAAAGAATTATTGAACCGTTTCTTTTCTAATTGTATTTTGCCCCGAATATGTTAATAGTTATTGTAAAAGTGTGCCAATGCATTAGAACCTAGGAAAAAATGTGTAGAATTTATAGTGGATGGGATTACTTAATGAGAATATACGATGTGAACGTCAGAGAGTTACGTAATCGTTCGAAAAGTATAGATACTGCACATTCATTGATGGTCTTAAGTGGTGTATCGAAAAGAAAATAAGAGAAGAAAAAAGTAGTTTCGGTGGTTAATTCGAATGGCAAATAAATTAGCATTAGCGCTCAAAGTGAGTTATTGTTATTAGATTTACTTCGTGGCCGTTTCAGCCTCGCCATATACACTAATACTAATAAAAGAGTGTGATTTATCGTTGAAAATTCGCGATATTTCAATCGTAAAAACTGCAAGGGTTGTAAGAAAGGCTTGCGGTTTGGTTGCGTAGGTTCCTTTTTATTATGGTGAGTTCGATGGGCGAGGAGGGCACGAAGGAAGGGCTTTCTTAGACATGGGTAGAAATGCAGGGATGGGATGGGACGGGATGGCCCGATAGTATATATATAGTCGATGCTGGACCAAGAGTGGCTTTATTCTTCGCAGGTCCGTGTTTAAGATCGGTTCTCGTTGGGACAGTGTTGTTTGTTGGATAGCAGCAAGCACATCTCAGTCCCGGACGCGCGTGTGTTGGACGTACTACTCTCAGTGTAGTTCGGGCTCTTGGATAAGAGGATGGAGTTTTACACTCGGAGACATTTACTGTGAGTAAACTTTTATAGTAAAATTTACAATTGTTACCATTCATAAAATACATTCTCATTCATAAATTTTATTTTATTTTTTAAATTAACCAACAATTTTTTGAACTTTACGAACAAATTTACACAATTTTTACTGAATATTTTTTTTAAATATCAAATATCTCAATTGCAATAAAGTTTTGATATAAAATATTTTTATTCTAATATGTTATGAAAGTATATTGAATCTGCTTTTATTAAGAAGCAACAAGTGAAACAGAAAACTTTTGAACAAACTTTTACAATTTCATTTGATTTCTTTTTACCAACTAATAATGCTTCTGATATAATATCTAGTATCTATATTTATATATATTATTAATATTATTATTAATAATAGTGGCCAATAAATATGTTTAAATATTAATGTATAAATTATAAAAAACTTTCACAAATTAAAAAAAAATTACACCTTCGATTCACTACTTTTTTTTGTCCACGCGTTAAATGAAGTTAATAATAAGATCTTATTAAAGTCTGTTGACTCTTGCATTTATTACCGAGCAACAAGTGAAACATTCTAACATAGCAAATAAATTTGTACCAATTAACACCAAACGCGAATATCATCCGCATGGAAATATCGCACACGTTTTTAAAATTTCAACGAAACCATTCACTTAAATTCATTCAAACTTTACTTAATGTGTAATTAAAACGTACAAACGTTACTACAACACCACTACACGACTTCCGTGTGCGTTTTAATTACCTGGAAAGCCGAAAAGCAAATAACCCAAAATCTGGAAAGTCTTGACTCGACGACATCATTACATAGTTTTTTTTTTAAAGTTTTGTCATCTTCTTCTTTATCTTTGGATGACTTAACGATGTTTTTCTGTGATGACTTAATGCTATTTGCATAGCGGATGCAAATTAGACACGAAGCTCAGGAAGGAACCACATTTGCCGAATTTCAATCGATGCAAGAGCAATTTCATTGACGCGTTTAGAATACGTTCGCTAATTAGCATTGTTACATTGCGCTGACGATTCCCCATTTTCGGTGAAATCATTTGCATGAACTTCGTGCACGGATGAAGACCAACGATTAGTATTGGTAATGAGCCCATTACGAATATTTAAAGGAAGAAAAAAAACCCTAACTGAATGCAAAATATTTTTGTTCTTTGCTCTTTGTTTTAAAACATGCAGGTAGATTGAATAAGAATTCTGCGCTGATTAAATATAACGAAGCCAATAGAAGTTTGCGGCTTTCGAGCAAAAAGCAAAACGATCGTGTTCTTATGCATGCATATCTCCAATCAATTACTCCTTACACCCAGTTACAGTTTCTGTTTTGCAACAAACAATTTCAATCGATTCTCAAACCGCTACATTATTTTCCTATATTTTTTTTTTCTATTTTGTAAATATGAAAATGTACGCTTTGGTTTACCAACTTATTTTTCTTAAAACGTTTTTTCTTCTCTTTTATCACGCAAATTCCTGTGAATATGATAACAAAGAAAACCAGTACCAGTTTCTTCAATTATCCAATTCTAAACTAAGAATTACCAGCTTATAGCAAAAAAAAATCAATCAATTCAAAAACCGCTATTTTATTTTCGTTTCCTTTTTACACAGGAAATTTAAATTTGGTTTTAGGTTTACCAACATTATTTTAATTTTTTACTTCTATTTATGACGTAGATATAAAAATGATTTCTAATTATTAACAAAAAATTGCAATCGTAATTAACTAAATATATTGATTATAAAGAATAAATTTACATACAAATTTATAGCATTTCAGTATTAAAAATTATGTAATGATGCATTTATACAAATTATATGAGTATTTTTTACAATTGTAATGTAACTCTCGTCGTGAGACCTGAGCGTCTATTTCGTGCTTATCTCGTCCTATATATAAAAAAAACAGACTTCTGGTTCCAATTAAACGAATAAAAAAAATAAAACAGCATCTACATATAAGGCAGCTAAATTTAATTAAAACTTATGACCCAAGGCCTCGAGTAGAATAATGATTTCCATTTCTTTGTCTACCGCTCTTCATCATTTTCATCTCAGTCCCGTGTACATTTTCAAATACATTTTATTGCATTCATTCTCTTTCTCCCCGTGGGTGTTGTTTTTTGTAACGTTCGTTCCTTTTCAGTTGTTATTTTGTTCCGTTTCTGGTGTAAAGGATAAAATGTTTCTAAATGCATGCACATAATAGGCAGTATGGATTACGGAAAGGATAATTATGGGTTATCCCGAAATTTATGTGGCGAGTGATGTTTCCGAACTGGATCCCATAAAAATTTAAATCGCTCTCAAAAATGGTTTTTCTTTTCACTTCATTTTTTTTTGTTCGAAATTTTTATTATACGCTGCATTTTTCTTATTAACATCATCGTAATCTTCTTATTACTTCTCGCTCGATGCCAAAATTACCTCTGGATCCCCCACGAGATATTAAATAATGCGAAAATGAAAAAAAAGCTTCAAAAAGTACAAAACACGTTTTTTAATCAAAGTCTCCCTTGTAATTATTTACAGGCGATTTTTATCGGCAATTAAACGCAACTTAATCAAGTCAAATTCATTTAAAAATACATCATTACGTTATGTAATTTGTTGTTTCTTTTATGAAATTATCGTACTTTTTATTATGATTCATTCATAATCATGTAAAACTTAAATTCAATTCTTCTGTTATGGATAAAATTAATCTTATATATATTTACAATTTTACTGCTATTTAAGAAAACTTTCAATTTTATTGAGTTATTGTCGGCTTTATTTTACAGCTTTGTATTTTATGGTTTATGGAAGAATGTTGAAAACCGTTAAAAAAAAATCGGTAAAATTTGTAAATGGGTGTAAAATCAAACAACGAATTTCAGTAGTTAAACGTGTGTAAACTTACCAGTAGTTCAGAGTTTTGGTACTTTTAATTATCAGAATATCTAGTTGCTACACACACGGAAGCCTTGCCGAATGACATAATTTTTTTCAGTTGATAAAGTATCAGTGGCTGCGGATGCTTCCTATATTACAGGATACACAATCAAGAGATTAAAAGACACGCACACAAAATTCATAGGATACGCATTAACATTTCTGAATGGATCGAAATAATTTACTCAGTTTATATTGCCCCGAAGACAAATATGCCTCTGTATTTCATTAGAGCTTGTTCAATTTGGTGGGCATTCCTGGAACTCCTCGAGAAACGAAAATAAATGCAGCAACAATTATAAATGCTAGGGCGAAGAAGAGTCCTCCACTTTACATCTTTCAATATCTAAATTTGGGCTGACGTTGTAAATCTGTCAACGTCACTGCATATATCCCAGCCCTAATTGGTTGAAGGGTCTAATGCCTAAGCCTTCACAAAAAAAGAATAGTACGAGCTCGAAAATGCGACTGTTTTGATAAGTCAACAAAAAAAAATGTTCACTTAGAAATCGGTTTTAAACAGTTGTTTACCCAAGACGTTAGTCGTCCAAAAGCGATTGTTGGAACTACAGAATGAGCGCACTTTAATGCTTTTCCACATCCCCTTTCTTCAAACAGTGATCCATTCATGTGAAAGCCTTAATCCTGTCTCTACAGTATTTCGATTGTGCACTGAAGTATTTTCAGTAAACAAAGCCAAAATTAACTGAGACCTCGTTACACTAAATGCAATGTGACGTCTCAAACAAGCTATCATCGTAACCGAATTTGTTGAAGTTTACTCTGGCAATAATTGCAGAATTTGTTTGGACGAGAATCTTGTGCAATGGTCAATAAAAAAATGGGTACAAACACTTTCGAATTGTTTACTTTTCTCCTTTTTTGCATATGCTGTGCATATGTTGCACGACAAAGCATTGTCGTCCCTTTTTGCAGGTCAAAAAAAGAACCCCAATCATTACTGAGAAAAATAAATGAAGTTACATGACCGTAACCAAAGAAAATCTGTTTTGTATAAGTGAGCATCTGGGGAATCCTGCGATCTTTGCAAAATTTGTGCAAACTTGCAACGGTGGTTGCCTATAAATAAATAACTTTTATTTACTGATATTTCTATGAATAAAGTCTACTTAATATTAATGCCAAGTGGATACTTTCATTCCGAGAAGAAATAAATACATATGAATACTTCAGTTTAAGTGATGATCGGTTTTTATTTTTTATGAATAAAACAACAAACATTTCATTCAAAAATAAACAATTCATTCAATCAATTTTGATGATGATCAATATTTGCTAATTTATTTAAAAAATTCTTCTAAGTTTACAAAACATAATTACATCAATTCTGATAAGATATATCTTTTATTTTTTATGTTATTAATATAATCAAATATGTACATTTGTTAGATTAATAATTATAAACAATTTTCTTTGATGTTAAATAATAATATACAAATTAGTTCACATATATTAATGAACTAATTTGAAAGTAAATTTATTTTGGTACAAGCATGGACAAGGTTTAAGATGAAAGAAAAGAAGCAGATCCCGAAAAATATCAGATGTTACAGGCGCAGGAAGAGCTCTTATAAACATTGCCAAAATTACACTACTTCATTGACGCGTTCTGTCTGAAATTGGGTAAACCCAAACACAATTCGGGCCGTCCATATTTCATGACGAAAATTCCTTTATACAAACTGTGATTCACAGGACCCCCAACCATTCCAGATGCCCGAATTTAGGCGTCGGAACTGTTGACGGATGCACGTTTAAACATTAATTGAAAAGTACACGGTCGGTTCTTTTTTTAGAAAGCGCATTTCCATTACCGGAAAATCGGAACGCATCGAAGGAAAAGCGGCGAACGGATAACGCCTGCATTTTTCGCGCACTCTTGAACAATGAACCATCACTTATACTGAGTGAAGAGAACAGCAAAGGTACAAACGTTGGTAATTCACGTTCATCCTTTCACAATTAATAAATCAAAAACGTTATAATTCCAAGCACAAACAATGCGTTTGCAGTCTTAAGGTCATTAACTT